GCCAGTGCTGCAAATTATTCTAGTGCCACAAATTGCACTAGTGTTACATATAATGCTTGTCCTATCTGAAATTATGCTAATGCTAAGTGCTACAAATTGTTAATGAGGTACAAACTTAGGCTAGTGCTACAAATTATGCTAATGCGGATACCCAGTCTGATGTTTTTCAGCACTTTTTCAGTCATTTCTGTAATATTCAAACACTTGAGGAGGTCCCACTGCCGCTGTCTGTTTTCTCTGTTTTGCAGTTTAAGCCAGCAGTGATCAGCATAGTGAGTGAGCTTTGTTGGTGTGTGTGGTGAAATATGAAGGCGTGTTTATCAGCTCATCTCGTGTGTTGGTGTAGACGCTGCTGTGGAACGAGTGCATGCAGGACGTTTCCTCACAGCTGTGTGATAAGCGTGAAGAGAAACCTACCAGCACGCTCCTGACTGCAGGTCTGCGGCCGGCGCGTCAGACGCTTTTCTGCTTTTCTCAGCCTACTTTCTCTGTAGATTCTTACGGTGGGGAACTGTGGAGGGTGGGTGGTGTTTGGGTTGTTTACACCAATTGAACTAAGTAGTTAAGTGTAAGTTCTAAACAGAAAACACAGATTTAACAAAGTTACACAGAAGCCTCAACAGCTAATGTAACATCAGCTGTGTGAGTCAGTGAGTCACTCTTCACCTTTATTCCAGCTTCCGTTCTTTTTAGGAGACTCACTTTCAGTTCCTCAAAGAATCTGCAGACACACCTCCAAAGTTCAGTCTTAGAAGTTGATCTGATCATTTTCTGAAGTAATCAAACACATTCAGTGGTGTTGAGGTCTGGACTCTGGGGTGGTCAGTCCATCGTTCAGCTTCTTTGTTTGATGTGTCCATCTCCTTTTCTCAGTGAGGTTCTTCTTGATCAGCTACACATCCTTTCAGACCCACAGCGCTGAGTCGTCTTCTCACAGTGGAAGGATGGACAGAAACACCTGTGGATGTTTTCAGATCTGAAGCAGCTTGATTTTCTCCTCTCTCTCAGAGATGAAAGCTTTAAGTGCTGTTTATCTGATGGGGGCAGTTTTGGGGTCGACCAGCTCTTCCAGGTGGTTGTTAGGAGACACATTTTCTTCTGTTATCTCACTTTTTTTCTTTGTCTTTCTGCTTCCTTATGCAAGCAGATTACCTCATCAGAAATGTCTCTCAAAATTGAACAGCTTGTGCTTTTTTCACTAGAAATTAAATAAATGAAGGGTGCTGTCTGATTGTCTTGTAGTACTGTATGCACTAAATATTATATACTATATATAGAGTATATATATTGTATGCTAATATTAAATTATGAAGCAGTTTACTTTATTTAAATGCCAATAAATGCTGCTGATGCTGGACAGTTTCAGGCTGGAAGTGTCAGTGGAGACTGCATGTATGTATATATATATGTGTGTGTGTTGATGATTAGTTTCACTCCATCTCTCTCCATTCATCTCAGCAGATAAAGCTCCTGCTTCCTCTGTTCAGTCAGAGCTGTGAGTTGTAGTGGCTGGTTCTGCAGGTCTGTAGGGCTTGTGTGACTAATTTTTACTACACTGTTAGAAATAAAGGTTCTGTTCAGGTACATTTTTCATTCATCAAGGTACAAACAGTGTAAATGTTCCCTCAAAGGTACAACAGTGGTTTTAAGGTCTGATTGTGAACCTTAAATAAGTTTTTCCAGGTGAAAATTTCGTATTTGTACCTTTTCATAACCGAATGTTTTAAAACAGAACAGTAAAATAAAAGTCCTGGAGTCGAGACGGGGTGTGTGGAGTCAGTACAGCTTAGAACATATCATTTCAGTGGATTATGGTACAGTTATGCTCCCTATGTTCTCATGGTTCTTATAGCAGATGCTAAGGTTTGAGATGTGACTACAGAATAGTTTTTTGCTTTATTTCTATAAGATTCAGTCTCAGACACTCACAGATGTACACAGACTGTCTGAGGTAAACTGCATGCTAAAATCACCACAGCTCTCAGAAGCTCAGCTCTCACTAAAAACTGGCTCTGGTTTGCTGCACTTAATCAGTCTGAAACTATTGTTTATTAAGCTAAATGCTAGTAGCGAGCAGTTGCACGTCTACAGATGAGTCTTTCAGGGTGAGATATAATCGCAGAAGCAGAAAACATTCAGGCTATCTTGGTTTTAAATGTTATTTCTGAATTTTGTTTGAAACAGTTTGTGGATAGTAAGTTTGCATCGCAGTTGCTGACCCCTGCCCCACTTTATTTAAAGGAGGTTTGTTATTGTTGCTAACCTTTCTGCGATTGGTCTGTTTGTATGGCGATTTCCTTTCAGATGCAGTCGTTCTCGAAACTCAGTTTGAGTTCTCCCAAACCTACCAAACTCCTCTAGTCCATGTTTTTTTAATGTCTAGAATCCAATAATAATTACAAAATTTTTAATGTTCTCATCGCTTGAAAACTTTATTTACCGGTGTCAAGTTTACATTTCCTGGTACACTGTGCAATAATACCATCAATGAGAACAGTGTGCAACAGTTTTCTATAAAACATGCAATATTTTTTTAAATACATACATATTTTCCCTATTTGTCTATTCTATGCCGTCTTGTATGATTATGTGGATTTGCCTTTATATTTGTCATATTATGCACACCAGAGTTGGAGAAATGCAGTCTCGTTCAGTTGTATAGTCTGAATGACAAAGTTCACTTTGACTCTGACGAAACAAGCTAGCTAGCAAATCGCTATCCTTAGCTAACAGAACTGTCTTTCTTCTGCTAGAGTTCCACACATGGGACACACATCTAAGTGCACAGCTGAAAGTTTTTGCAGAACTTTTCAGCCGGGAAATCCTATATTTCATCCATGGGCTAACGACAGGCTTGTCGTCGATCAGACAGTGTTGACGAGTGCACCACCTGAGGCGTGAGCTCCGCCCAAGCTCCACCTGAGGCTCAGATTGGTTTAAAAATGTTCCTCTCTAATAGATCGACAGTCCCACCAATATTTAGCCCAAAATGTTTCACGGATCTCCTGACATTCTCATTAAGAGATCACATCACCCCACAAGACCATTGGTTGGCTGCTCTATGTAACCCCTGTGTGTTTATTAACAAATAAACTGAATATTTGTGCGGTCACAGAAATGAGTCAGCTTTTTTGTTTAGATTTTATCTGGTCATTATAAGCAGAAGCTTCTTTCAGGCTGCAGTTAGAATTTTCAGTAAATGTACCTCAAGCCATATTTCATAAAGCTGTTTACGAAGACAAACAAACAGATAGCTGCCATTGAAAAGCTCTTAAGAGCGTGTGGTGGATAATGAATAGGCAGCGGAGCAGCCTTGAAAGGAAATTTGCTTGATGTTATCCATTAACCGAGGCTCTCTCGCTCTCTCTCGCGCTCTCTCTCTCGCGCTCTCTCTCTCTCTCATATTCTGCTGCCTAATGAATTCTTCCTGCCTCTTTTCAACATGTGTGAAGCGGAATTACCGAGAAGTAAAAGTCAAAAACACCTCCTCAGGGCTGCGAGTTGTTCTGTAACTGCTTGTTTTCCATCAGTTGGTCTTTAAGGTGAATCTGAAATCAAAACTAACCTTCCGTTTAAAATAGTGTTGGTTCACATCCCTGCTCATGTTAGGCACAAAACATCATATGACATCATTTAAAAGACTAAATCAGGGGTCGCGACCCAAATGTTAAGAAGAGCCATTTTGTTCTTTCAACAAAAATCAAACCACCTTGAGAGCCTCAACATTTAATGTGCATTTTACCATCTTGGCTGTAAATATGTCTCAGTATGTTCTAAGGTGCTAGTAAAGGCTAAAAATATAAACGAAAACACAGACTCACTTTGCTCTGCTTTAAGCTTTAGCTCAGCTAAACGCTTTTCTCACATCTCCGGCAGGAAACTTTTCATCAAAAGTAGAACAGTTTCTTGTAAAACGTCTCTCAACATTTGACTTTTCAGCTTCTCATTCTCCAGCTTCTTGTTCTAATTTTCCTGTTGCACCTTAAATGGTGCCTGAGGCGCCAGAATGTAACTGCTGCACCACTTAAGGTGGAACTGGAAAATTCAAACGAGAAGCTGGCTTTAGATTTGCGACTTTATAGTGTTTGACAGTTTCTCGTTGCAGATTAAACGTATCAGGAAACCAGCTGGAGTGACTATAAACACAAATAAGTCCATTCATCTCCAAATTATCGATGTTCTTCTTAAATCTTTCTCTTTGCCTTTTTGTTAGCTACTAGCTAGGCTAGACGGTGTCTGCGTTGCTATGGTGACCAGCAGTCTGCGCTGATCTTCAGGGTTAAAGGGTGAATTAGCAGTTCTACGTTAACTCCAGCATTTTAGACTGTTTATTGTTAAACTGTGTTGAACGATCAGCAGAGCTTTATTTTACTGTAAAGGAGGATTATTTTATATTTACCTACTAATCTAATTCTGCTGTGGAGCCACAACAGGGCAGTAAAAGAGCCACATGTGGCTCCGGAGCCGCGTGTTGCCGACCCCTGGACTAAATACTTCTTTTCCTGTAACCTTCCATGAAAATGCAATGTATTTTCAAATGTATGAATTTTAACCAATATCATGTTTCAGTATTTCAAGTTGCGATTTAGTGTAAAACACTATTAACCATTTATTTTTAATGATTTTTCAGTGATGGCATCGGGACACAAGGAAAACGTCTATATGCGTCTATCACCAAGCAGTAAAATATTAAATAAAAGTCCATTTCTACATTTTATAAATGTTTATATATCAACATCGACATTGATCATGTCAGTGGATCCCTATTAGACACGAGGTTCCCCATGTAAGGTTTCATGCTTTCTTTGCGAGGCTGTGAGTTTGAATCCCAGCCAAAGCCACAACCACAAAGCTTCTAATTATTGGTGCACTTTCAAAAAAACACGTCTGCTGATATCAATAAACTCTCGACATTATCAGCCAATTGAGGTCAGTTTAGTTGTGACCAGCCATACATTGAACACAATAAAATACCTCTATTCTCCTTCTCTGCCCCGCAGTCTGCCCCAGCAAGGACATCCGCAACAACGTGACCAACCTGCGGCTGCTGGAGAACTGCACGGTCATCGAGGGCCACCTGAAGATCCTGCTGATGTTCAAGACCCGAGCCGAGGACTTCCGGGGCCTCAGCTTTCCCCGGCTGGTCATGATCACCGACTACCTGCTGCTGTTCAGAGTGTACGGCCTGGAGAGCCTCTCTGACCTCTTCCCCAACCTGACCGTCATCCGTGGCAACAACCTGTTCTTCAACTACGCGCTGGTGATCTTCGAGATGCTGCAGCTGAAGGAGGTGGGTCTGCACAGCCTGATGAACATCACCCGGGGCGCCGTGCGCATGGAGAAGAACCCTGACCTCTGCTACCTGTCCACTCTCGACTGGTCCAAAATCCTCGACTCCGTGGAGGACAACTACATCGTGGCCAATAAGAACGAGCGGGAGTGCGGAGATATCTGCCCGGGCACCATCGCTGGAAAGATCACCTGCTTCCAGACCACCATCAACGGGCACTTTGGGGAACGCTGCTGGAACCAGGACCACTGCCAGAGGAGTGAGTAGCATTTTTGTTTTTGCTTTTGTTAGAGCTGCACGATATCGAGAAGATATCATTTTGAAGATCTCAGTATCAGAGTTTTGGTTTGTTTGATGTGAATACCAATGGCTTCAAGTTACATGATGCCCAATGGGGCAGTTGTGGACCAACCTTTAAGCGCAAACTGGCTTCAGTGTAACGTTAGTCAGCAGTGGTGAAATGCCGACTTCCTCCCGCATGTCCGAGTTAAGTCCTTCGTCTCTCCTAATTGGACAAAACTATTTTTCCTCTGTGCATCGTCAGTGGAGAAGCTGTAGAAACTAAGCTAAGCTTGTTTTTTCTTCAGGCTCGAACACTTGGGTGCGCTGTACAAGCTCTACTCGGCCATCACTGTTGTTGTTGTTTTAGAGCACGTCCAGCGGGAGAAAACACAGAAATGTGAAAAAGACTATTATTATGTAAATAATCGGAATTAACATTGATTTTTTGTCGTTAGTTTGATGCAACTATTAAAGATTAAGCTTAAAATGATGTGCTCTTTTGCTCAGCCTCAAAGAAACGAACGTTACCCGCCACCGGCATCTAAAGGGGTCATTAACAAACATCAAATAAACAACCGTCGCTCACCGCCGCCCTCTAAAGGCGTCATTAATGAACATCGAATAAACAACCGTCGCTCACCGCCGCCCTCTAAAGGTGTCATTAACAAACATCAAATAAACAACCATCGCTCACCGCCGCCCTCTAAAGGCGTCATTAACAAACGTGAAATGTACAAATGTCGCTCACCGCCGCCCTCTAAAGGCGTCATTAACAAACATCAAATAAACAAACGCCGCTCAGCGTCGCCCCCTAAAGGCATCAGTAACAAACATCAAATAAACAACCATCGCTCACCGCCGCCCTCTAAAGGCGTCATTAACAAACATCAAATAAACAAACGCCGCTCAGCGCCGCCCCCTAAAGGCATCAGTAACAAACATCAAATAAACAACCGCCGCTCAGCGCCGCCCTCTAAAGGCATCAGTAACAAACATCAAATAAACAACCGCCGCTCAGCGCCACCCTCTAAAGGCGTCATTAATGAACATCGAATAAACAACCGCCGCTCACCGCTGCCCTCTAAAGGCATCATTAACAAACATCAAATAAACAAACTTCACTCACCGCCGCCCTCTAAAGGAGTCATTAATGAACATTGAATAAACAACCATCGCTCACCGCCGCCCTCTAAAGGCATCATTAACAAACATCAAATAAACAAACGTTGCTCACCAACGCCCTCTAAAGGTGTTAATTTACGAACAGCAAATAAACAACCGTCGCTCACCGCCGCCCTCTAAAGGCATCATTAACAAACATCAAATAAACAAACGTTGCTCACCAATGCCCTCTAAAGGTGTTAATTTACGAACAGCAAATAAACAACCGTCGCTCACCGCCGCCCTCTAAAGGTGTTAATTTACGAACAGCAAATAAACAACCGTCGCTCACCGCCGCCCTCTAAAGGCGTCAGTAACAAACAAATAATAGAGATTTGGAACAGCTGTGAATGACAAACGCTGTGTAGTAGGAAATATTGCTATAGTTTCAATATTGCCAGGATTGCAGTGATTAACCAGCAGTGCGTGGTGTGCAGCTCTGCTTTCTGCAGCGCTTTGATTTGGGCGATATGCTCTGAAAGGAAGTGAAGCTGAAGCTGTGGTGTTTTGGGAAATTGGTCACCCACAGTTGGTTTTTATTTATGCCGAAAATAACACTTTGGAAGGGTTTTTGTTTTTCCTGTAGAGCTGAAAAATGGGACATTTCTGCCAATGAAAGCACTCGTATTGAAAAATAACTGCAGTTGGTTGTAAAAGCAAGTTTTTAGGGGATTTGCTCTGATATGGTTTGGGGAAACTCTGTGAAACCTCATGTTTTGAGCTGGGAGAGTGAAGAAATGTCTCTAGTTTCTAAAGCATTCGTTCTTATCTGTTCTAGCAGGAAACCTATAAAACACCTACTTACATAGTTATAATCTGAATAATCTGAACAGCAGTGCTGAATAGTTTCATATTTATTTATTTACACTGTTGTGTTTATTAGTTATTTAGTTATTAGTGCCATTTAACCACATTCGGTACATTATAACAGTGTGTCAGTAATACCAAAACTACAAATGTTTGATACTGATATCATGATAGGAAGTTTTAAGTTACAGGAGTACTGGAAAAAAAATCCAAAAAATATCACGGTAAATATACCATTACATGCTCTAATAATGTGAAAAATATTGTGTTGTGATATGTTTATTATATAATTATTATAGTAATAACTTGTTACAAAGCATGATGCTGCTTAAAGTGCTTTACAAGAAATATATTTAAAAATAAAACCAAAAAAACAAGATATGAATGAAATATTGATGAGCTTATATTATTATTTAATACGATATAAAAGATAAAGTGAAAATATAACATTTCTCTAGTTTACAATTTGAAATAAAAGCTAAATTAAAAGTAGTTTTTTCTTTAATTATCACTATATATTGTTGTTTTTCAGTATTAAAATGATTTTACTTTTATTATTTCTGTTACCATTTTTACCTTTACTCACTTATAATTTTCTTTGTCACGTTTCTATTTTTACTGATTTTTTGTCTCTATTTTATCCCCCTGTTAAGCACTTTGAGCTGCGTTTTACGTATGGAAGGTGCTAAACAAATATTATTATTATTATTATTATTATTATTATTATTATTATTAACAGCTTGTCGATTTTGGCTGCCTAATTGTCAGAGTGAGAGATATCGATGATGTATCGCTCACACTGCCTCTCGTCTGACCCTCTGATACACCAGTGGGTCAGTGGTGTCCCTGTGAGTCCTAAAAGGGTGTTGGATGACATTTTAGACGTTTCAGAGTCGGTGTGCACCCCTGCTGTGTTCACTCGCTGCAGGAGAAGCCCACCGCGGCTGTAGTAAACAGAGGTCCTCTCTGACAGCTTGGCTTCAGCTGATTTGCAATGCAAAGCTGCGTCCAGCAGCAGAAGCGGACAGTATGAGTGAGAGAGAGCGAGCTGAAGTGAAGGCTAGAGAGAGAGAGAGAGAGAGAGAGACGGCATCTGCCAATACTCATCCAACTCCAGCTCCTCTGCTTTTCCCTCTGCTGCCTTATTCAGCTCCATTCAGCCTCATCGTTATAACATCTGATACCAAAGCGTGCTGTAATTTGATGTGTGACAGTGCTAGCAGAAGACCTAAAGATCGACAAGGTAATCAATGAGCAGCAAACTAACAAAAGCAGCTGCTTGTTGGAGCTGCAGTTCCCCTCAAGATCCTCCACTGTAACAAGAATCTACGAGCTGTATGAACGAGAGCAAGAGGCTATAATCACAGAGGAGCTGAACCACTGACTGTGTATTTGATGTATACAATATATACGCTTATTTATTTAATATATGATGCATGATATATGCGCTCATTGACTGTATATATGATATATACAGTCACTGAGTGTGTATATATATATATATATCTCATATATGTGATGTATACACTTATTGACAGTATATGTGATAGATAATATATACGCTCATTGACTATATGATGTCTGATATGTAAACTCATTCAATGTGTATCATACATCATTTATACACTGAGCTCATATGTCCTACATAGTCCGTCCATCCATCCATCATCTAAACCGCTTATCCTTCTGGGTCGCGGTGGGGTGCTGGAGCCTATCCCAGCTGTCATTGGGCGAAAGGCAGGATACACCCTGGACAGGTCGCCAGTCCATCGCAGGGCAGACAGACAGACATACACAGTGACACACATTCACACCTAGGGGCAATTTAGCATGTTCAATCAGCCTGACTGCATGTTTTTGGACTGTGGGAGGAAACCGGAGTACCCGGAGGAAACCCACACAGACACGGGGAGAACAGGCAAACTCCACACAGTAATGACCCTGGTCACCCGGCCGGGAATCGAACCCAGGCCATTCTCGCTGTGAGGTGACCGTGCTGCCCACTCCTACATCCTATATATCATACATCATATATACAGTCAATGAGTATATGATGTGTACATTCATTGATGGTATATATGATGTTTACGCTCATTGACTGTATACTGCTATAACAGAATCCGCTGCTTTTTAAACAGCTGGAGTTCTTCAGGGTCAAATCTGTGCAGATATGAAACTACGATTAATCGTGGTTAATTATTTTAATGGTTTGACTGCCCTGATTTTACATTAGACTACTAAGACCGCTAAGATGTTTAAGTTGTATTTAGACTTTGTAGTTTCCCTATATAACAGTCTCCAGGTCACATGATCACTAAGTGCTGCCAGCTTGTTTTGTCCAGCCAAACAAGAAGGAACTGCGTATGAAACCTACAGAAAGCTGCTGTAGACACTCCTGCATGAGCCTCCACCAGACTCATTACACCTAAACGGTGCCTAGAATCAATTTGTGTGCTTTGTCGTATTAAAAATCAGATCAGCTTAGACAAACATTAATTCAGCCCTTAATTGATTATTGATTTCTGTTAGAGAGTGCACATGCGTTTGGTCAGTCTGAAACTCTTCTGTCCCCTCTTGTAACCCGCATCAAAGCACTAGAGAGACTTAGCTTCTGGTTAGGGCTGGGCAGGGTGGCGATGATTATTGTTATCACGATAAATTACGTCATGCTCAAAGAACGTTGGCCAACTGCGTGTCTCATAACAAAGAGAGCATAATTAGTCCAGTTTAATTGATTTTAGTGCATAAATCGTTGAGTAAAAATTGTTGTAGTTATAGTTTTTGATGATGTTGTTTCAATTTTGCACTAGTAATTCTTTTTTGTTCATTCTAACCTATCAAACCTCAGAAAAATTAAATATTGGGATGTTTCTCGTGCTTAAAATCTCTTGTATATTGCATATGTTGTATGTCGTTATTGTGTGTCTGTCGTATCGCCCACCTCTGCTTTTGCGGTCTGGTTTTGTCCAGCTCTCCCCGTATTCTCTGGAATGATACATTTCTCCAAAC